CAAGATATGGTATCACTGGCATGATGAAATTCTGTTAACTACAGGAATGGAGTCTCTGGTAGAGAACTGTTTCTATCAAGTCAGAGTTAGAAAATCTTTTCTCATCTCACAAAACCCAGAGTGTACCTGGGACACACTTGACTGGCAATGGCATAAAGCAGAGGTCATGAGTGCATTGAATGGGATTTCCCAAGGATAAATAGTTTAACTCTTATTTTCACCAATAGTTAAGTAACCTGACTGAGATCCACGATCAGATCAGTGGCATGGCCCGCTGTCCCTACAGCCCCCAGCACAATTCTACAGCTCTGCTCACAGCCAGTGGGGAGCTCTATGCTGCCACAGCCATGGACTTCCCGGGGCGAGATCCAGCCATTTACCGAAGTCTGGGCACTTTACCTCCTCTTCGAACTGCACAGTACAACTCCAAATGGCTCAACGGTAAGTCCTTAATTCAGCTAGCTTCCAATGGCTGTGTTTGTGATACCTGGCTAATTGTTGCTGTAAAATAAAGAAGAACAAAACATTCATCTTCAAGGTATAACACATTTAGGACTGATAATTAGCAGTATATTCTTTAGTACTAGGAGGAGGAGTGATATCCCCAACATTATAAGCCACAATAATAGGCCTATATTGTCAGCTGATGCTGACAAGACTACTCATCATTGTTAAGCTGTCTCTGCCTATGTTGCTGTAGTCTCATGTGTATTCTTTCTTCATGTCTACTTAATATATTTTGAACTAGAAATTAGTACTATTTCATGACATTTTCAGACAGTATAAAGAACCCCTTTGCCTATAAGTAACTCCAAATAATTTGACAATTTAAAAACTGTCGTCAAATGTATGTGTCTATCACTTTGGGGTAAGCATCTTCAGAATTTAATTCAGAGCATTGAGAGTTCATTAGGACCCATGTCTTGTCACTTGAGATTCTGCCAACCACAGCATGACCATTTGACCATCAGAGCAGCTTTGCTCAGCTCATGGATGCAGGCTCATCACTATAACCTCAGACTTATTTCTAGATCTGGCAGTACCCCCTGGGTGAAGTACCACATTTATGTCTATCTGTCTCTTAAGAAACTGGGAACTAAAGGAAAGGACCAGTCAATTACAGGCAATAAACAAATCACCTATTAAGTAACCAGCCAAAGGATGAAGAGAGGCAGCTGCACAGATGTGGGTTTTTGTATGAAAGTCCTGGGTGCCAGCATAAACCCTTCATGTGTATAATGTGGCTATGCTCACAAGGATGGTGTCTAGCACACTGTG